CAACCTACTGTTATTTGCGAGTAATAAACGATTTCTCTATTTGCCTGTCTATTGATAATGTTCTTATCATTACATTCTGATGCTTCACAGGCGCTACACCCAAATTATAGACATATTTAAGAAGTTCGGGATCAACAACCATGAGAACTGAACATTTCACGGGTTGTCTCTCCGATGTATGGATCCCCGGTTTATCCGCTCAAATAGCGGCGAGTTACTGTGCCACCGTATAATATCGGCATAAAGATATCGCATAGGCTTGAGCAGTCAAAGAGACAGGGTGGACCGGTATCAATACAAATTAAGTACCGAAGTAGGTGGAAAGATGTGAAATTCAAATGTTGAGGGGAATTCGCCCAATAATATGAGGGCTTCGTTTACCCCAGTCGCTAATGTGTGCATGTAATAGCCAGCATGGACCACGAAAAAGAATCCACGGATTCACGGACTGATACACAGGATCGAGGCTTTTGCCCAAGATTCCTCGGTCGGTTTGGTACGTGTCGTTCAGCGGCTGTCTTTCCCCCGAAACACACAAGTGAGATAAGGGTGTAGCACTGCTTTTTATGTTTTCGGCGGGGGGCAGTGTGTTTGCCAGCGCGAGTATTCGCATAAATAAATGTCCAATAGTGCCCACGGATTCCGGACTGATACACAGGATCGAGGCTTTTGCCCAAGATTCCTCGGTCGGTTTGGTACGTGTCGTTCAGCGGCTGTCTTTCCCCCGAAACACGCAAGTGAGATAAGGGTGTAGCACTGCTTTTTATGTTTTCGGCGGGGGGCAGTGTGTTTGCCAGCGCGAGTATTCGCATAAATAAGTGTCCAATAGTGCTGTGAACTGGGTTCTAGAAGAAACGTGGACAGCCGTTGGAGGAAGGTTATTCCACGTAGCTACTAACCGAAATGAGAAACAAATTTGCCTAATGCGTGTGTGCGCTCTGAGTCTGAAAATATTACCACGTCCCCACCGTGTGTTTGTTGGATTAATGGTGAAAAACCTGTCGGCCAAGCTTAGTTGGAACAGAGCGTAAATAAGGATTAGGTCCTCTCGGATGCGACGATACTCCAGGGGAAGGAGATGAAGCATCGCTAGACGCGTTTCGTAGCCCGCAGATATGAGGCCGGCAGCCATTCTCGTAGCGGTTCGCTGGACACGCTCAATGAGGGTGACGTCTTTCGTGCGCCCTGAGTAGACAACCTGGTTGGCGTATTTCAGGACCGATCTGACGTAGGTCCCAAGAAATTCGTAACCCCACGTGGTCCACTGCGATAAGTCATGTTGCCAAGTATCGCCCTCTATTCCACACGACCGGAACCCATGTGCAGACCCATTATCCCAACGAACTGAGTATTCACGATTTGGTCTACCAAATGTTGTATAAGCCAGCCCAAACTACCGGAGCTTACGAGGGCGCGAGGTTTGATGGACAACCGCAGTGGCGCGAAAATGGAGAAGCCAAAGACGGTAGGCCTGGGTTCTCAGTCTTTTGTTGCATATTTTCTTTTTTGTTTGCTTGGGATTTCAATTTATCGGCACGACTCTCCCCTCATAGCCCGGATAACCGTTTTTAGAGTTCCAATGGCTACTCAGAAATTGCATTCAGGTTCAAATTAATGTGCCAATTGGAGGTTCCTGACCAGGATGGTACGTTTAGATTCAGGTGGCAGGAGAATAGCCACACTAGCGGCGTCCGCTCCGTGTGTCACATGATGGGAAAAGGTGAATCAGAGCGCGTAGTTCTGTTCGCCTGTCCTGTCCTGGTTGGTGTGTATTTGATCACTTTGTAGACGTGTTCGTACAAGCACCGTTAAATGTAAGTCGCAGCAAATTTAATGCAACAGGATATCATCAGAGTATCAGAATATATATGTCAGAACAGATTATCGATCATCACTGTATGTTCTTATGATCTCGGACCGCGTGGACCCACCTTGACCACGGTGACCATAAAGCTTTTTTGGTTGTACCTACAATGCTTACGGGTGGACTATATGTAAAGGAAAGAGCAGGTGCCACCACCAACCACAGCCACCTACAATTGATTCACCGAGCCAACTCATTCAAGAACCCTCATATGATGAGGCTAGGGGATTTACGACGGGTCTGAACACTTATCTTCGTCCCCTTAACGCGGATTAATCAGCTTTCGCGAAGGACGCATCTCTTCATCAGGAACCAAACCCATAAACGGATGGTCCGAAGAGGCGGTTTTAGCACCTGTCGACGTAACCACGATGTTTACGTGTGCCTGTAACCACTGCACTACTCTGAGTCATGAAAACAATGGGAAGTACAGCAGCCGACGAACGCCCTGGACTCCTTTACGAACATGCAGACTACTGTAGAAAATTGGCTTTGTGGGAAGCCGCGTCATCGAATCCTCTCGCGAGATAGCTGAGTTTTCGCGTTGCCGCCATTCAAGTATTTTTCCTCCGATCCCCAGCGGGAAACCAGCTATCGTGAACCACAGTACATATCATCCATTCAACCTTCTCTACTTCTAGTGCAATTCTACGAGTCGACTCCTCCGAACACTATGCATTTGAATGAGTTCGTGATAACTGAGTGGTTACAGGGTCAACTAACTGACCGGAAAGTCCGTGGTTCAATCTCAAAACCTGTAGCTCGATTACTTTCTATCTGGTCTTCGGTAGCCTGTTCGAAGGTTGCCGAAAAGTTTTTGATGGCGATTGACCGGTTTCTCATTAATAAGGGCCCACTGGGTGTTGCGGCCATTTGCTTTGTAAGCTTGAGTGAGGCGCGCCAATTCACGAAAAAGGACGAAGAAATCCAATTTCTGGTTTCACGGTACTGTTACAACGACAATGATGCACAAACTCAGCAAAACTAAACAGGTTCTTCTTTTCAGAATCCGTAAGAGCCACAAGATGGGGCTGCATAACCCCCAACCTGAGGATAAAATCACAGTTCACTTTGTCGCAAAATCGGTATCGGAGTCGTGTAACCACAAAACCCAATGTCCGACAAAAATACGAAAAAATCATAAACATAATTCAGCAAAACAAGAGGGATTTCAGTTCATCTGACCGGGGGAATGTGTGGAGGCTGGTTGTCACATATGGCGGAGAACGAAGGCACATTGTTACTAAGTTTTGTTCTACACCGCCATCCAAAAGTCCTGCAAATTTTCCTGCCTTATGCTAGCGCCATTATTGACCGTTGTCTCATAACCACAGCCTGTCTGGATTGGTGTTCGTGAACCCATAACGGAGCGATTAGAAATCAAGTTTTCGGTTAAGCGCGGGGATTTCCATTGAATAATGTTTCCAGCACCAGTAGCTGTTTTGGTTAGGCCATTTATTGCGCACGCCAAACTATCGTTTGCCGAAGAGTACTATTTTCCGTGCCTTATTCATAGTGGCGGACGTAGAGAAATGGCTGTCCCTTGATCTAACAGAGGGATATGAAAGAGATTACGAAAATCTGGGTGCTGTCGGTGCGACTCTCCTAGAATGGGGATCGCGTAATTTCCACTGCGTCTGGCTGAAGCCGCTGCAAGAAATGCCTGCTACTCCTTGTCAGTGACATTATTTTTGTCAGCTTCTATCCAGATTACCTGAATGAGTGCCTGGTTGTGTAGGCACCTTGGAATGATTGTAGTAGGCTAGCTCTAAGTCCCTTCTCCGTACACTTGGTTTTTCCACAATAGGGCTTTCGGATAAACAATGGTTGTACGACAGTGAGGCATCAGTGTTGAATATTGATGTCATGCTGTCGATGATGATGATGATGATGATGATGAAGCTTGGGTAACTTGGTAGCATCTCAACCTCCGTGCTTCCGTCCGGTCGTATGACAGCAGGGCACCGGAATTATGTTACGATTGAGTGATAATTTTTTATTCGAGTGATATCACTTCGTCCGAAAGAGTGCATCTCAACCCTTTTATTCCTGAGACTCAACACAGCTCCTGAGAATGTTCATATACTTTCTCCAGGTGAATAACTCGCCGCTCCCACCACGGTTTGTTTTCATCATCCACTTTGGATTTTACGATTCCCAAGAGGTGAGAGATGGTTATAATCCAGAACTGTAAAGATCCGAGTAATTGATCCGTTCAGTTGTCGACCAGTTGTTATCGAAAGTGATGGATCATCAAAGCGTCAAATCATTTAGCTTTAGCACCCTTTCAGTGCTTTGCTGCCATTTCATTGGAAGGAGGAACGATGGCTGGGATACTGTCAGGTCGCCGAAGCCTGGACAGAAAGTGATGGATCAATTGCGAATGAAATAATACAGTATTTCGAGTCCAATAGGGTGCTGCCTCGGATACTGTCAGCCGAAGCCTGGACAGAAAGTGATGGATCAATTGCGAATGAAATAATACAGTATTTCGAGTCCAATAGGGTGCTGCCTCGTTCATAGTACCGCTTCCAGTGTCACATCCCCTCTGCCGGACCAACTGCTTTCCCGGGAGGAATGAACCTCATTGGTTGGTACGGGGCTAGAAATTTATGTGATGTTCCTCGACTTAACGTATGCCTCCGATCGTTTACATCAATAATACCTACTGCGCGAGCTTTTTGTTTTGGCTTTCGATACTCCCTTTTATGTTGGTTAGGATGCCGCCTACATAAAAGAACGCCTATGTTGCGGGTCTTCGGACAACCATCGGAATCCGTTGATGGGATGAGTGCTGGTGCACGTCCCTGATCCCCAAATCTTATACATCAAATTTTTCATCCTCGTATTATTCCATTTGTGGGCAATATCAAAATTGGAATACCTGTGAACTTTGTAGTTGGTCTAGAGTATCCGCGAGATGTACTCGACCTTTGTCGATTGCTACTGCGAAGTCGTCCTTCTTTCGGCGTGCAAAGGCTGAATTTATCGTGACAAACAACGGTACACACAGAATCCGCTTCACACTTTATATCTCGCGACCAGAAAAGATATTGACTTGTGAATACGCGCACTGCTATCCCGAATAACCTTTTATATCCCAGCATTTTATCGTCCGAGTGAAAGTTTGTGTACGATGCAGGCAAACCACTTTCAGAAAATAGAGGAGTTAGGGCGCATATCAAGTAGACTCTTGTCTATCGGGAAGATCAAACACATCATCATCATCAACGACAGCATGACATCAGTGTTCAACACCAATGCTTTACTGCCGTACAACCATGACTTATTTGAAAGCGTTATTGTAAAGAAAAGAATAAAGGTGGATGGGGGAGGGACTTAGTACTAGCTTAACACAATCATTCCGAGGTGCCTACACCTCCAGATATTCACTCAGGCAATCTGGATAGAAACTGACAACAAGAACGCCACTGACATCGCTTGGCAGCTAT